CAACGGGGTAGTGATGCTATTTGGGTGGTTGTAGACCGGTTGACTAAGTCGGCGCACTTTATTCCTATGCGCGTGAGAGATTCGGTAGATCATCTTGCCGATTTGTATATCTAAGGGTTGAAATGGTAATTATGGGAAATGGCCTAATTACATTGTTTAATTAATTGGGAAGAATGAGGAAATGAAATGTCGATTGAATATCCATTTGTGCATTTATTTTCTGTTTAGAAATAGCTGCTTTGGGCTATCGGTGGAGGATCGTCGTGATTGTTGTAGACAATGTATGTTGATTAGGCAAACTGAAACTAATCAATGGAATGTGTTATGGAACTTGACAGTTGCTAGAATACATTAATTGTTTGTATTGTGTGATTGTATATAGGACCAATGTGTTTATATACGTTATGTGTAGAGGAGGAGATGGGGGATGTACTCCGCGGTTTAGGGGAAGATAGGGGATGTACCTCTAAACCGGATAGTGTTGGGAGAAGATAGGGGATGAACTCCGTAGATACAGCTCATATGCTTGTCTAGAAGTGAAGATAGAGCTTATATGCTTATCTTTGTGATGTGTGGATATAGCTCATATGCTAATCTGTGGTTATTGTGGTTATACATATCTGTTGTAGAATGTGGATATAGCTTATTTGCTTATCTGAGAATGTGGATATTGTTGCTATACATATCTGTTGAGAATGTAGTTAGTGCTTATATGCCTATCCGTTGAAAAAGGGAAAATGAAAGGAAACTTGGACTCATAAGTCGTATGACATAAATATGTGATTTATGTGATTGTATCAGTGTTGGCCATCTATCAATTGCTAATATTTTAGTCATTGTTCATGGTTGGTTTAGTGTATTTCTACTGGGCTGTGGCTCACCCTATATGGGAATATCATTTTCAGGTGCAGGTAGCATGCCACCTCCAAGGACATAGCTGGGAGGCTAGAGGCGGACATACTTTTGTCGCTTAACTTTTGATGTATTACATGTAACTTCAAGCCAAGGACTTAACGTGTACGAGTTAGTACTCTTTTGTTGTAACCAAGTGTTAACTTGGAAAGCTGTAAGCCCGTAGGGCATTTTGTTTTGATGTTAACATGTAATACTTATGTAATGGAACTCTAATGAATAAAAGAATGTGGTTAGTTTATATGTAAATGTATGTCTTATCTGATGGGTTTAATGTTGTTATTTTGAGGGCGTTACAATATCTCAGCCGTTGTTTTATAAATTGAATAGATCTGAGTCGTTCAAATGTTCTAATAGGACAAATGTGTGTAGGACAAATTCAAAAGTCATCCTGCTTTATTATATAGATTTTACACCTAAATCCCAAAATATTTTACACCTAAAAATATTCTTTATGTAAATTAATTTTGTACACAAAAAAGAAAACTTTTTTTTTTGGTATTTAATTGGCACTTGAAACAAAAAAAAAAATTTACTCTATGCATTGGGTAGAAACCAATAAAGATCTACCCTTTCACTTTTGAAAAGTTCAATGTGTTGGAATAGCCAAGTTGAAAGTGAATTTTCTAAAAATTGACTTACCAAATCTTTAGAGACATTATTTTTGGAGACTAAGACCAAAAATAGTTTTCTTAAAAACATATTTTACTTACTCTTTATTTATTCAACTGAACAATAAGAAATATGTAAAATATTTTTTTAAAAAAAAAGAAGACATTTTCCGTCAAATAAAAAAACAAGAATATATATAATATTTTCTTTATGCAATTTGTTTTCTTTCTTTTTTGCAACCAAGAGATATTTAGCTAGTACCACACACGTGGGAGTTTAAATTCAGTACAATACCATGTCACCATTAACTAATAATAAAACAATTAGGAGTAAACTCACTATTCAAATATAATTAAAAATTCAATAACTATTACATCTGCCTAATGCATCGAAAACTCTTTAAATAAATTACTAAATATTTTGTTCAAGTGATAGCATAATTAAAAATAATAATTATGATCAAGCATCACATTATATATGAAGCACGGGTACTCCAAAAATGGTGCCGTACTCGTACCGGGTACTTACTGGGTGCTGGTACGCGTACCGGTACGGCTGCACGCGTACCGGATACGGCAAACAGTGTCTCGGTACGTTTGGGAGAATTGGTACGGCTTGGGTACGCCGTGGGTACGCCGGGGTACGGCAGAACTCAGCTGTTCCGAACACAGAAGAGAAGAAACAGAGAAGAGAGGAGAGAAGAGAGGAGTACCTGGTTTGAAGCTCCGACGGCTCCGACGACCTTCGATCGACCTCGACGACCTTCGATTGACCTTTGACGACCTCCGACGACCTTCGCCTTCTCTTTCTCTCTCTCTCTCTCACTTCGCCTCTTTCTCTCCTCTCTCTTCGACTCTGTTTCTCTCTTCGACTCTGTTTGAAACCTAGATATAGATATTATATATAGTATAAATTATAATTTATATTATATTATTATAACTTTTTATTTTTTTATTATATATTTTTATTTATGTTTTTATAAATTATACTTATATATGTGTATGATATGTTTTTATTTATATATTATATATATAGCCTTTATAAATTATTTAAAAAAATAGATCAAAAAAATTAATAAATTAGAACACAAAAATTAATAATCAATCATACTTATATAATGTTAATAATCAAAAAAATTAATTAGAACAAAATTATAAAAATTAATTAGAACAAAATTAATAATCAATCATACTTTTTAGTTTTGATATTTAATTTCAATTTGTAGGTTGGATCTTTTAACCATAATAAAAAAAAATAAAAAAAAATCGGCGTACCGCAGCCGTACCTGTATCCTACTTTTTTGAGGTTTTGCCGTATCGACGTACCCGCACTCGTACCCGTACCGTACTCGTACCTGCACCCGTGCTTCTTTATATATAATCAAATAATTCTTTAATCATAAACAAAATAATGACATAATGAATATCATAATGTATCATAACTGATAACATAATAAATCATAATCAAAAACATAAAAATCATAACAAAAAATTGCATACAATTGAATTTCCCATTAAGTTGTGATATTACTTGAATTTTGATCGGTACCACGTGGGGCCAGTAACAACACCCCCCACTCTTGTCTCTTTCTATTTTTTATTTGGTCAAGCAAGATGGCTCCATGTGAACCTGTTTGCACCCATTTTTGCTGATTCCTGTCGACAGATGGACCAATTAGGATATGGATATGACATGTGGCAGAGTCAAGTGAGAGTTCAACAGTTGTTTAAGTGGGCAAGCAATATGAGAGAGATTGATAAACGTGCATTAAATAGTACTGGTGATAGAGTAGTTATTGGCTAAGTCATGGGCTTAGTGCGTGACTTGCAGAAAGAAGCATAGACAAGGTGGGGATCTTTTTCTGTCGAGGGAAGGTTAGAAGGACTTTATGACACAACTCAAGAGAAGTGAAGTTCGACAGACAAAAGTGAAGGTCTAATGTGATTGGAAGACCTATAAGCCAGGAAGCAGTTGTAGCAGTTACACAGCAACAGTTACAGATTGAGGAGATCATGGGGGCATGGGAAAAAAGAAGTAAAGGTCAGAAATTTGCAGAGAAAAAAGACTTCAACAACAACACAACAACTTAGCTTTTAGACTTTGCATAATCTAGGAGTAGCTTTCTTAGTTTAGGAGTAGTTTCTTCTATAATTCATATCCTTGTAAACTTTTGTGAACTCTTGGAATTACTTCTTGTTTGCTTTGTTTGCTTTCTAACTTTCAGTTGTTCAAAAGAAGTCAATTCCATAATTGCTTGATTGTTTTTGTTTGATTATTTAGTTAAAATTATTGTTTAATTCCTGTCGATTAGGAGTTAGCATAATTTTTACTAACAATTTTTGGCACGCCCAGTGGGACAACATCCTAATTTGAAACAATGGAAAAAACGAGGCATCAAAGCCACATGAGTGGCATGTCTGTGTCTTATGCACCCATGGATGCAAGCCGCCAATGGAATGGCAGTATTCCCATGGATATAAATTATCAATGGAATGTCTCATCTTCCGTGTCTAAAGATTGCCAATATTATGGCAATAATTCTAACACCCATTGCCAACATAATGGCATGATAAATGATATGGAAAGAATGATTCGGCATTGTAAAGATGAAATTTATTGGCGCGAGGGTGAAAGTTTGGCCATAAGAAGATAAATTAATTTTTTTTTATCAGCAAAGATTTCAGATAATTTCATCATCTCCATATTATTTGAAATTCATCAACTTGAAGGCCAAATTTACCTAAATGATGAAGAAATTCGATATTGGGAGCATAATTTAGAGGGCTTAGTGGCTAAGAAAAAATTAAGGCATGAAAATAATGTGGCTTGGGAGGTTAATACCCATATTCCTAAGGAGCCAATTATTCATGAAAAGCCAAGGTATGTTGCTCGAAGGGTGAGTATACCAAGTCATGAAGATAACATGATTTTAGAGAATTTTCATAGGCCAATAGTGGCTAAAATAGAAAAACAGCCAATTCTCTCAAAAGATGTTAAAAATTCATCACAAAATGGGGGTGAAAATATGCTTCGGGGGCATGGTTTTTTGCCAAACATGGCAAAGAGTGACAAGCCATTAATGGCTAAAAAAGAAAAACAGCCCCGTTTCACAAAAAATGATAAAAATCTATCACAAAATGATGGTGAAGATTTACTTGGAGGGCATGATTTTAAGCCAAACATGGCTGAAAATCATGAACGCATTTGTTGAATTTGAAATTTTTGACATTGTTAATTTTGTCAAAACTTTTGATTTTCTAAAACTATTTGATATTATAGTTTCTGTTACCCAACGACCACCATGGGTTTGTGGTTCACATCAAAAATTGATTTTGATAAATTGGTTGACAAAAATAATATCTTATTCTTGTAAGTTTGATGGAATAAAAAATGACCATATAAAACAATCCAGACCAACCAATAATGGCCAATGACCAATTATTATACTTTGTATGAAGGCCAATTTAATGGCCAGTTGTTTAATGTCGACGCATCGACAGAAGGCTAGTTTAACGGCTAATGGCCAATTGATTATACTTTGCATGAATTGACAAAAGAAAGAATAAAAAAAAAGTGACGTTTGGGGGAGTTCACAAATCGGCAAAAGAAAGAATATAAAAAAAAAAAATGTTGCTGACTAGTTTGTTGGAAGAGCCACTGCCAATATTGATTGAAGCGAAAGTATGGCAGTGATACCTTAAACAAGGAACATTGGAATAATGATGACCACGTTGAACTCCACAAAAAATGTAATATTTTGCGGTTTCAAAATTTTTGCTAAATGTTATGAGTGTGGACATATGCCTTGTTTTAGTAAGTACGAGTGATTCCATTCTTAAAGAGTTGGGGTACTGTTTGCACCGTAAATATAGTCTCATTAATTGGGGCCTGTCGATTATGGTCAAAATAGTCTATGAATTTTAGAAAATATGGATTGTCCCAGATTTTGTCTTTTATATCATTTAAGGTAAAATTAACTTTTATCTTAAATGAGGAGGGCATTGTTTGCACCCATTTTTGCTGATTCTTGTTGACAGATGGACCAGTTAGGATATGGATATGACATGTGGCAGACCCTGAGAGTTCAACAATTGTTTAAGTGGGCAAGCAATATGAAAGAGATTGATAAACGTGCATTAAACAGTGCTGGTGATGGAGTAGTTACTAGCTAAGTCATGGGCTTAGTGGGTGACTTGCAAAAAGAAGCATGGATAGGGTGGGGATCTTTTTCTGTCGAGGAAAGGGTAGGGCTTTTTGACACGTGTCAACTCGAGAAGTGAAGTTCGATAGACAGAAGTGAAGGTCTAATGTGATTGGAAGGCCTAGAAGCCAGGAAGCAGTTGCAGTAGTTACACAGCAGCAGTTGCAGTAGTTACACAGCAGCAGTTGCAGATTGAGGAGATCATGGGGGCATGGGAAAAAAGAAGTATAAAGGCCAGAAATTTGTAGAGAAAGAAGGCATCGACAACACAACAACTTAGCTTTTGGACTTAGCATAATCTAGGAGTAGCTTTCTGAGTTTAGGAGTAGTTTCTTCTATAATTCGTATCCTTGTAAACTTTTGCGAACTTTAGTAGTTTCATCTTGAAATTACTTGTTTTCTTTGTTTACTTTGTAACTTTTAGTTGTTTCAAAGAAATCATCATTCTTTTGAGGCATTTGAACCAATTCCACAATTGCTTGATTATTTAGCTAAAATTGTTGGCTAATTCCTGTCAATTGGGAGTTAGCATAATTTGTACTAACAGAACTGCAAAAACAAATTCAATAGGAAGAAAATGAGACTTTACACATCAAAACGAGTAAATGCCCCCACGTGGATCACTAAAACCCCCAATTGAATTTCAGCATTACAAATCCCCAATTTTCAAACTCACTACTCACCTTTAATCACGAACTCAGTTTAGAGTTCAGACCGCCATTATTCTATTCTCATCTTCCTCCTCCCTTCAAACCCAACCAACTAAGGCTACTCCTCTACAACAAAACACATTTAAAAAAAAAAAATGGCTGAGAGTGCAATGTTCCATCTACTAGCCAACTTCGCACCCTTCCTCCAACAAGAGGCCAATTTGTTGACTGGAGTTGAAGAAGAGATCCAATACATCAGAGATGAATTTGAGCGCATGACAACTTTTTGAAGAAATCAAGCAACTAGTCCCACAAGGGATGGACAACAAGGATACCAACAGCTTGAAAGGGATAATTAATACTTTCCTGCAACGAAAGAGGTATGTGCTTGTTTTTGATGATGTATGGGATATTCATGCCTGGCAATCTTTTAGATATGTGTTTCCCATTGGCCATTGTGGCAGTCGAGTAGTGCTGACAACCAGAAATGCAGATTTAGCCTATTTCGCTAGTACATAATATCATGGTGATGTCTATAATCTTCAGCCCTTGCCTCCCGAAGAATCCTAGACATTGCTTTGCAGGAAAACATTTATGGAGAATTATTGCCCTTCACATTTGGAAGGACTTTCAAAAGCCATCTTGAATAGATGTGAGGGATTGCCGCTTGCAATTGTGGCAATAAAGGATAAGAGTAGTGTGGATGAGTGGGATAAGATCTACCGCAACCTTGGTGCAGAACTACAAGGAAATGATAAATTTCAAAGCATGAAAAAAATAGTCACTCAGTTACATTGATTTACCTTACTATCTAAAGTTTTGCTTTCTATAGCTAAGTGTTTTTCTAGACGATTGTTTGATTGACCATGAGAGATTGATTCGGTTATGGGTGGCAGAAGGATTTGTAGAAATGAAAGAAGGAATGATGATAGAAGAAGTTGCCGAGGGTTACCTCAATGAGCTAATCAATAGAAGCTTAATTCAAGTCGCAAAGAGGAGATGAGATAGAAGGGTCAAAATGTATCGCATCCATGACCTTTGGCGTGGAATTGTTGTTTCAAAGTCGAGAGCAAAATATTATGACAATAGTTGGTGAATGAAGCAGAGCATGGCCTGAAAAGGTGCGGTGCTTATCAATCCACAATCATTTGGAAAATATAGAAGAAAGCAAGCGTTTCACTCAACTTCGTTCTTTACTGATGTTCAGTACAATAGATACAATGTCCAAGTTCCCCATGCTTGCATCGTCAAGTAATGCTCTACTGCTGCTAACGGTGTTGGACTTGAGAGGTTCCTTGTTGGAAACATTCCCAAATGAAGTTTCCAAACTACTTCAATTTAGGTATTTAAGTTTGAGAGAAACCAATGTAAAAATAATTCCGAAGTTGATTGGAAAGCTCTAGAACTTGGAAACGCTAGACCTTAAAGGTACCTATGTCATGAGTTGCTTGATGATATCCAACGACTTTGCCATATCTTGTTGTAAGGATACCAACCAAGTCCTTATATTTCTTTTCATTGCCAATCCGGATTCAAAACCCCAGTGAAAATAGGAACTTTGTCATCCTTACAGAAACTTTGTTGCATTGAAACAAACCATGGGAATAATGGTGGCATTTTCCTGGTAGAGATAGGGAAATTGACTCAACTGAGGAGGTTACACATTCAAAAGCTGAGAAGTGAAGATGAGATCATTGATCTAGATTCTCTTTCTTCACCACCTCAGCTTCTTTGAACACTTTTCCTAGAAGGAAGTTTACATAAGTTACCGCATTGGATACCTTCACTGCACAGCCTGGTAAGAGTAAGTTTAGCATGGAGTAAGTTAAGGGATGATGATCCACTGAAATCCCCTAAAGGTTTGCCCAATTTGGTTGAGGTTGAACTTCTTCAGACATATGAAGGGAAGGATTGTGTTTCAAGGCTGATGGATTTCAAAGGCTTGTGAGATTATACCTCAATAGATTAAAAGGATTGAGATGGGAGAGAGTGGAGGTTGGTTCAATGCCTCTACTTGAAGAGTTATATATCCAAAATTGTGAACTGGTAGAGGAGTTATCCTCTGGCATTGAACATCTCACCAAGCTTAAATTGCTTGAATTGGATGGTATCTCTGATGAATTGATTTCGAGGCTAAACAGAGACTTAGAAGATGGGAATTATTGGAAAATTGCACACATCCCAAAAGTTGGGATTGGAAATGCAATATGTGGTTATTGGAAAGGAAATTATCTATAGAGAGAGAGGACGGAGCTCTAACCATATTGGATCATCACCACAACTACAATGCTTATTATGTATTTATTTATTTTCATGTGCTCTAGGTACTTGATTTGTTGTATTCATATTGGGATCAAATTTTTCTCTATTCTTTTATTTTTCCTTCTCTCTTCCACTTTTGTTTTTTTGGTAGATCGGGAGCCTTCTATTTGACCTCCTACTTTTAATCCTAGAGAGTTGGTAACTTCACAAATTTTTGAATTGGGATTGTAAATCTTAGGGTTCGTTTGATGAGATTTTTATGTTTTTGTTTATTATTTTAATTTTTTGTTTTAGCTTTAAGAAATTTTGAAAATTAAAATAAAAAACACATTTGGTAATTGTTTTCACTTTTTAAAAAAAATGGTTACAGTTTTCTAAATTTGAGGAAACAACAAAAATGTGTTTTTACTTATTTTCAAAATAAGTTTCTTTCCTTCTTGCCTCCCTCACCCATTTGTCATCTAGCCACCCTCTCCACTCCGGCGACCACCTCCAACCACTCCCCCCTTTTGGTAACTAATCAAACTTGTTTCCTTGTTTCATTTTTTTTTTTTTTAATGTTTTGAGAAGGATTACGCTTCTCTTGAATTCAAATTGGAACTTGAGGGGCCTGTGGGATGCAATACGAGTCTCGTTTCTATGGTCTGAATTGTTTATTTTGTAGGGTCTTAATTGTATATCATCCATGGAAAAAATTAGATCAATCCGATAATTGTATTCTATTCATCTTATCTTATTTGTCTCTATAAAAATGGATGACAAGTGTGTTTTTGAAAACAGATCATCCATTTTTTTGGATGATATGTATGGTTTCCACAAAATGAATATTTTAGATTGATTTGTGGTAACCCCATGGGCTCCTCAAGTTGTCTCAATTTCATATTTGAACTTGAAAGAAGACCAAACCCTCAATTATATAGGGCCAAACTCACTTGCCACATTATTATTGGTGAATTTGTATGTCTAAAATTGAACTTCTCTAATATTTCTTTAACTTAGTTTGGAGACTAAAAAAAAGCAGAAAACATATTCTAAGAGTCAAAATATAACAAAATGCATAGTTTGAGATCAATCGTATTCGATCATTTGATCTTTTAAGACTTAATGTCAAATTAAAAAATTACCCTAATTCTTCTCATTGATTTACACGACACTTTTGTCTCATAATAGCCACTGTTTTCTTTTTTTTATTACAGTTTTTCCCTAATCTAAAATTATTAAAAATAAAACATCTGAGCCTATTTTGTGAACCCACCCCTACACTACCATCTCCACTGGCCACCACTACTGTCACTGCCGACGCCACCATCCACTACAGTTGATGCCACCCCCTAGCTTCTCTCTATCTTACCCCACCACTCTCCTCATCATCTTCCTCATCTTCTTATTAGGGTTTAAAAGGTGGGTGTATGTTTATTATTATTATTATTGTAAGTGTAATAAATAAAATTAAAATTTTGAATTTTTGCTAGTGGTAGTGTGATTAGAAATTTTTGTTGGCAAGCACAAGAATTTGTGGAAACAAGTATATATATCAGATTACGTTTATAAACGTATAAATATTGTTTTTAGTGATTCTGGAAAAAGGGCCTGTTGATTTGAGTAGAATTGATAAAAAATTAAGTAAAAGAATGGATGGAATTTTAATAACTTTTTACTCAAATTTAAGTTTGAGTCCAGGGTTGGAGATGCCCAAAGCCCATCTCTCTTGATTTGACTAAAAAAATTAGTAAACCTTATTTTGATATGCAATTGGAGGTGATGAAATGGGGGGATGGGGCATTTCTCTTTGATATGAGCTTAAGTAGAGGAGTGGAGGGTTTTTTTTTTTTTTTCCTTTTTACTTTAATTTAAATTTGATACGATACGGGTAATGATTAAGGGCTTGAGATGGCCTAACATATCTGTGAATTCATATTTTTACATATTGGGTGTCTTATTCTCAGCTTGACATTTTAACAAACACCTCGCACGCACACAATGAGATGGAGCATTCTTGCTCTTAAGAGAGGGAAGGAAAGCGGGTTTGTTTGTGTGTGGTCGTTCAGAGAGAGAGAAGCCTAGGGGGGAAATAGAACTATTCCAGCCAAGGAAAAAAAAATTACCTAATGCAGTGATACAAGATAAAGAATAAGAACAACTCACATCGCACCCAAAAGCAGCAAATATAGGAAGACACCCAAACTGGCCATTATTCTTCTTCTCTGTCTCTCTCCTAGCAAACATGCATTGCAATTATAATTCCCACATTGCAGAAGAATACCATAAACCCAGTAAGTTAACTGAATGAGATAACAATTAACTAACTTCAATTCCAATTCATCCAAAATTAGAAGAAAAAAAAGTAATTAAATAAAGATAGAGAAGCTCCACCAAATAGTGAGAGAGAGAGAGAGAGAGAGAGAGAGAGAGAGAGTAGAAAACTAACCTATGATCGTAGGGTAAATTCACTTGTTTTCAAAGTAAAATTTTACTCCCTTCAAGGTTTGCCCAATTTGGTTGATCTTGTACTTCTTCAGACATAAGAAGGGAAAGGATTGTGTTCCAAAGCTGGTCAATTTCAAGGGCTTGTGAATTTATTCCTCTATAGATTAGAAGGATTGAGATGGGTGAGAATGGAGGCTGGTTTGATGCCTCTTCTTCAACAGTTAAATTTCCAGAAATGTGAATTGGTACAAAAGTTACCCTTTGGCATTGAACATCTAACCAACCTTAAATTGCTTGAATTCGCTAATATGTCTGATGGATTGATTTCGAGTCTGAATAGAGAGTTAGAAGGTGGGAATAATTGGAAAATTGCACACATCCCAAAAGTTTGGTTGGGGACACAAAATGTGACTATTGGAAATGAAATTATCTATAGCGAGAGAGGAATGAGCTCTAACCTATGAAGCACCGACACTTTAAAACAAGCACTGTGTCGGACACATGAGCACTTCGGGGACATGCGGACACTTCAGGAACACGTACGGGACACACCACATGGCATGTTCCCTTATTTAATTATTTATTTTTAGGGGACACTCCGGTGACACTTTGAAGACATGTCAAGTTGTTTTCCGCCATTTAATTTAATACTTTTGATAATGTTGAATGTTTGTTATTATTTTTTTAGATTTAATACTTAATAGATCATCCATAAAAAAATAAAAATAAAAAGATATAAACTGTAAGTGTTTAAAAAAAAAAAAAATAGAAGTAGAGTTTATTTTTGTTAATATTGATTGTTTGTAGATGTAATATTAATCTAGATATCAAATAAAAATATATTAAAACATATTTTATTACTGTCCTTTCCATGTCTGTGTCCCCATCTTTTTGAAATCGCCGTGTCCCGTGTCTGCATCTGTATCTATGTTCGTGCTTCTTAGGCTCTAACCATATTGGATCATCACCACATTTAGAATGCTTATTACGTATTTATTTATTTTCATGTCCTCTCGGTACTTACTTTGTTGTATTGATATCGGCATCAAATTTTGTGTTTTTAGTGGATAGGAAGCCTCTTATATGACCTAATTTGATCCCAAAGAATTGGAAACTCCGCATATTTTTTAATTGGGATTGTAAATCTCAGGGTGAATTTTTATTTATTTATTTATTTATTGTTTTAGCTTTATTTATTTATTTTGAAAATTGGAATAAAAAACACATTTGGCAATTGTTTTGACTTAAAAAAATAAATAAATAAAGCTATAAATTTCAGAATTTGAGGAAACAAGAAAAATGTGTTTTCATATAATTTTAGAACAAGTTGCATTCCCTCTTTCATCCCCCACCCCTATCCACTGGCCACCCGATCTGCTCCGGCCACTACCTCTGACAACTCCCCTCTTTTGGTAACTTATGAAACTTGTTTTCTTGTTTTAGTTTTCAAATGTTTTGAGAATGTATACCAAATACGCTAAGAAGAAGAAGAAGAAGAAGAAGAAGAAGAAGAAGAAGAAGAAACATATTTTATGTTCTCTGTATATAGAAAACAAAAAAAGAACCTCAAAATATATAAAGGAGTAAGGGTTGAGGGGATGAGCTTAAGTAAAGGAGTGAAGAGAGTTTTGGGAGGTTTTTTACTCAAATTTAAATTTGATATGGGTATTGATTAAGGGCTTGAGATGCCCTAACATATCTATGAATTCATATTTTTACCTATGATGTCTCAGGATGTGCATAAGTTAATAAGTTATAATAGCAAATATCTTCTCAGCTTGACATTTTAACAAACACTTCACACGCACACGATCAGATCCAGCATTCTTGCTCGTGCGCGCGCGAGAGAGAGAGAGAGGATTTGTTTGTGTGTGAAAAAAATAGAACTATTCCAGCAAGAAGAAAACAATTACCTAAAGCAATGGCACAACAAGATAAAAGAATAAGAGCAATTCACATTCAGACCCAAAATCAGCAAATAGAAGAAGAGACCCAACGAGATACCATTATCATTCTTCTATATGTCTCTCCTATCAAACACCCATTGCAATTATAATTCCCACATTGCAAAAGAATACCATAACTGAATGAGAAAACAATTAACTAACTCCAATTCCAATTCATGTAGAAAAAATAAAAAATAAAAAAGTGAGAAAACTAACCTGTGATCGTCGGGGAAGTTATCCGGCTACAGGTTGCTAGGAAAAGGGATCGGCCAAGTCCAAGAAAAATAAAAAATCACAGGGGGGAAAGAATGAGAGAGTGTTGAAAATTTCCCAAACAGGCCCCAATTTTTTAAAAAAAAAAATTGAACGAAAGTTAATCAGCTCAAACATGACTTCCTTCCTCTCACCAAATGTGTACAAGACGACTGGGTTTACTAGATACAAGTGTTGTAAAATATTAAAACTTACAAAAATTACAATTTTGTTTCTTTTGTCATTTTGATTCATATATTTTTAGTTGATTTAATTTTGACTCTTAATTTGAAATTTTATATTGATTCGATTCAATTGATAATGCTATTAGTGTTTTTAACGAAAAATAATTACTAAATTAATTGAGATTAACACACTGAACTGAGTAAATTTATAATTTTACTATCAAAACTATGAAACATGCCACTTATATGTGTATATTTAAAAAAAAATGCTAAGAATTGTAATTAATTAGATCAAATTGAACTAAAACTATAAATTCGGAATCAAAATCGAGCCGATTGAAATTACAAAGATCAAAATAACATAGGGGTTAAAATACAGGAACTACTGTCATAATTTACCCTTAAACTTTGTTCGGATTGTAAGTGTAAAAAGAAATATAAAAAAAAAAAATGTTAAGATAATGTAAATGAAATAGATATTATGAATCAGTGTGTTTGGTTTGAGTTTTTTGAATTAAATTTTTTGAAAATTGATTTTTTGGTTATCGTTTTTTTTGTTTTTAATGAATATTTTTAAAATTTTAAACATTTTTTTTATTTTTTTAGATGCACCTTACTTAGATGTATCTAAAAAGTAAAAAATTTGTGAAAAAAATATTTTAAAAAATTAATAAATACATAAAAATATAAAAATTGTACTGAATTCTCGTATTTTTTTTTATATTTTTGGTATTTAATGAATTTTTATAAGGTTTTTTTCACAATTTTTTTTACTTTTTAGGTATATTTATATTAGGTATGTCTAAAAACTAAAAAAAAAAAAAATTGCTTAAAATATTTTAAAAATTCAGTAAAAACAAAAAATACGAAAAATAACAAAATAGAATTTTCTGAAAAATATTTTTGAAAAACTATAACCAATTTTTTTTAAAAAATATTTATTTAAATTTATAATACAAACATAACATAAAGATTATCTGTTTTGTGGCTCACTAATTCGACTGCGTAGTTAGGCTATGAAAATTACGGGTGATTCTATTTGCACTAAAAAAATATAGGAAAATGTTTGAGGGCCCTAATTTCTGTGGCTCAAATGGCTCAAATTTGCCAAAACGACGTCGTTTTGGCAATTTTGATGTTGTTTTGTACTCAAAACGACGTCGTTTTGGCAAATTCGAGCCATTTGAGCCACAAAAATTAGGGCCCTCTATCATTGTTGAAAAATATATATATTATTTAATATACCTAATTTCTTAATACATTTTGTTAAATTATTTAAAGAAAAAAATATTATTTTGCCCCCCAAACTATCACGTATTTTTCAATTTGACCCTCATATTTTGATTTATTTCAATTTAGTAACAAATTGATCAATTTAACCCCTATCGTCACATTTTGTCTATAATTGGACGGAATGTGCTGACGTGGCACCAAAGTTCATTTAAAGTCATTTTGTCCCCCAAACTATACCTTAAAAATCAATTTGCACCCCAAATATAAAAAATTAAATTTAAATACTTAATAAATATTTTTTATCTCAATAATGAAAAAATTAAATTTTAAATAATGTATACTTTGCTAAAAAATAATAAAAAAAATATAAAAGTCCTCATTTAGAATTATCTTGATACTATAAAGTATGGATATTTCAACAAACATGTCGTACCCGTACTGGTTACTTATTGAATTTTGAAAATATTTTCCCACTCAATTTTGAAATTACTATTAGTCGATCAATTCTATTGAAATTAATTTGGATAATAAACTAGTTACAATTGCATGCGTACACACACATAGAGTAGTCAATAAATTTTTGGCTCAATAAGTTTTTCTAGGATCAACTTGAGATAATTTGAGACTTATGAAGCACAAGTATGGGTATGACTACTGGTATTGGTACGATATGAGTACTGGCATTGGTACGAATATAAGTACATCGACATGGTAAAATCTTTAAAAGGTAGGGTATGAGTATGAGTATAGTTTAATACGTTTGTAAAAAAATATTTATTTTTAATTTGAAATAATACAAAAATTAATTAAATGGTTTAATTTGTTAAATCCAACATACAATGACATTTAATGCCAAAAGCATAGGTATAAGATAAAATTAAATATTATTATATTAAATAACTTATAAACCATAACTTAATTTTAAAACCATGCTAGGTACAAAACTAAAAATGAAAAAAAAAGTTTAGTAAAAAGAATTTTATCTTTGTAGTAGAAGAAAAATATTATTTTCGACTGAGGTACAGCACGACTTTGATATATATTAGATGAGAGGGTAATTTATATAGTTAAATTGGGCCGAGCTAGGTAATGGGTTGTTGATGGGCCACAATACGAAAGGCTGCATAATAGGGCTTTTTAGGTTAGTCCGGCCCCAGAAAGCCCTATAGATAGTTCGGTCCAAGGGGAATGTCATTTTTTCTAGCTCGGTCGCCAAAGTTAGACCGGTCATGGCATGATACAGATAGCTCGGTCGGACCTAGCTAATGGTTAAACACGGTCTAGGCAAGTACCATGCTTAGCACAGTTTTGTACAGGAAGAACCGGAGTAAGAGCAGTAATTTGAAAAGCCGAACTAAGGATAGTTCGGTCTATTTTTTCAGCATAGCATAGCCTTGCTTACCTCGGTCCTATTAGAATCCGACTATGGTAGAACCATCTCACTTGGTTTAGGCAGTGAGGGGGGTGTTGAAGGATATGCATTATCTTTCAGGAGGGTGAATCCTAGAAGGACTCTACATGGAGGAGTAGAAGTCCTACTAGGATTGTGCCACGCGAAACCTATATGGGCTTGGTGATCTTCAAAATTCCCAGATACCCAGAAGAAGTCATCGTTGTTCAAGTCTTTATCCGGTGTGTCCTTTATTATTTTCTCTCGGCGGCGGCGTATTCTAAGATAATAAACCCAGTCATCTTCTTTCGAGCCTATGGAGTATTGATAGAAGATCTCGGCTAAACCGAGGTTAATGCCAGCACGGCGGTTAAGTTCGGCTATACCATTTATTATGCGGTATGAGTTTATGGAAAGCTGGGTTGGGCAAATTCTGGTTTGCCTAAGGAATTCACAAAGCAAGGGTTGAACAGGAAATCTTAGTACGGTTTCTACTATGGACAAGAGGGTGAATGGTACAACGCCCTGGTTTCCCCAAGGTGTAATATCTTTTTTGGCTAAGGTGAGCTGGACGTCGTCAGGGATGTTATACTCCCTTCAGAATTCGGCCAACCCACCAGGCATTTCTACTAAAAATCTATATTTACCCATTTAAGTTACAAATAAATTAAAGCTGTGTTAGCTCGGTCAGAGAATTGTGCGGAGTAGCTCGGTCGAGCACACAAAGGAGTGCCTGGGCAGCCTAAGTCTGCAAAGTGGAAAACAAAGGTGTTAAGCACAGATCGTTGGACCGTGCTACAAAGTGAAAATAAGATAAAGTCCTACTTCGGCTAGTTAGATACTGTAGGTCCTATCTCGGTTCCAGCAAGTTGTGTGGTAGCTCGGTTTGAGCAAACGATTTGTTAGCCCGGTTCAGCCTCTAGGGGCAGCATTCTCAATTCGGTCTAAACTAAGAAGGTTGGATTAGCCCTAGTTGTAGTTCGGTCGTGGTTGGGGATTTCAGACACACCGTTACATTGTCCTAGTACGGTTCTATAGCTCGGCGAGATTGAAATCAAAGGTTGATTTTACTTATTGATAATACTAGTTATGAAGAGTTAGTTCGGTTGTGTAGTCCGGTTAAGACTAACATCAACTACGAACGACTTCCTAGTTCGGTTGCATCATGATTTTGAATCAAAACAGTGTTCTACAGGTTGTTTCGAGAATTCAAGTGTTCCATTAACAAGTTTTTTTCAGCAAAAGTGCAAAATCAGCAGAAAACGGAAACAAAAATGTGTTTGGCAAAAATATAAACGAGACTGGTATGGATTAAGCAAATACAATAAAAGCAAGGAAAATTTGAGTAACTTACCAGGTAAAAAGAAAGAAACTGAAGAAGAGAGAAACGGCAGCAAAAAACACGAAGCTCCTTCAAATTGCAAAGAACAACTCAGAGAAAGAAGAGAGAAGGGGATGAATAGTGTAGTGGTGAATTTGGCTTAGGGGTTGGTTTTGGATTGAAAGCCCAAAATTTTGGGCGGGATTGTTCAAATCACGCGAAATACGAAGACGGCGTGACAGCTGCCTTTAGCCAATCAGAGCATGTCACGTGTCATTGGAATAGGAAACGATTCAGTGGCTGTGATTGAAGAGACGTTTTGACCGAACAAAACAAAGCCCGGTGTGAAATTAGCTCGGTTGGAAAGGCTAATGAAGTTTTAGCTCGGCTGGAAAGGCTAAAGGATTTCGGCTCGGCTGGAAATGCTTAAAAACCTCAGTTCGGCTGATAGATGGGTAATCCCTATCATGCTTTGCAGATGGAATTAAGGGAATATTGAGAGGGTAATTTATATAGTTAAATTGGGCAGAGCTGGGTAATGGGCTGTTGATGGGCCACAATACGAAAGGCTGCGTAATAGGGCTTTTTAGGTTAGTCCGGCCCCAGAAAGCCCTACAGATAGTTCGGTCCAAGGGGAATGTCGTTTTTTCTAGCTCGGTCGCCAAAGTTAGACCGGTCATGGCATGATACAGATAGCTCGGTCGGACCTAGCTAATGGTTAAACACGGTCTAGGCAAGTACCATGCTTAGCACAGTTTTGTACAGGAAGAATCGGAGTAAGAGCAGTAATTTGAAGAGCCGAACTAAGGATAGTTCGGTCTATTTTTTCAGCATAGCATAGCCTTGCTTACCTCGGTCCTATTAGAATCCGACTATGGTAGAACCATCTCACTTGGTTTAAGCAGTGAGGGGGGTGTTGAAGGATATGCATTATCTTTCAGGAGGGTAAATCCTAGAAGGACTCTACATGGAGGAGTAGAAGTCCTACTAGGATTGTGCCACGCGAAACCTATAAAAGCTCACAAACATCACCTATGGA